ATATCATCCAACATGCTGGTCATATCTTTTGTTATATCATGCAAAATGGCGGCCGCGTCTTTTGTTATATCATCCAAAATGGCGGTCATGTCTTTTGTTATATCATCCAACATGGCGGCCATGTCTCTTGTTATATCATTCAACATGGTGCTTACGTTTTGTCATGTTACTAGGTATTATCTTATTTCCTTACGAGTTAATGCAAAGAAACAATAACATTGTCATTTCTTTTTTATTCCAGGTCGATTTTCAGTCTTTGGGGTTGGATGGTCCAGCAGGCAACGAGGCTGAAAAAGCCATTGCACTTTTCCTAGTCGCCCGCGGTGGAGCAAAATCTGACTACAGTAACCATCAAGGAAAGACCCCACTGGACCTTTGTATTGATGAAGAATTGAAGGAGATGCTCAGGCGTCAAGACTTAGTGTATGTTTATAATAGCCTGTTGTATTGGAAAATCGCACGATCTCGAGTACAATTCGGAATTTATAGGTACGAGTGATATTTTGAAAGTTTTCAAAATTGGACGAGCCTTTATGCGAGTATCTATAAATTCCGACTTGTACGAGAAGATTGTGCGATTTTTTGTTTAGAACAAATTCAACAAAATTGAACAACTTAATTGGGACTCTATACAGAGTACAATTTGGGACTGTACTCCTCTTGTCCAATCAGAATCGAGTAATTTTGTAGAGTGTATTATAATAATATGGTAATACAATATATACTATGACGCGCGTGTGGGTCAAAGTTGGTTTCCACGCAGCCTTCTTCTTGGTTACTTTGGTTCCAGAGATCTTTCTCTGTACTGACATCGGTTTAACTCTAGCTCGCCACTAAGAAAAAACTTCTGCTAGCATGGTAGCGCCAAACATAAATTTCTAGATCACTTGGGCTGTTATATAAGTTTTTAATGGTAGTTGAATTAAAGAATATTCTTTTGCAGGCGAAGAAATAAATACCAAGGTGGAACTCCAGCTGCGTTGGCTACACAAGCACGACCAGTGCCAGGTTCTTTTCGAGCTCCTTCGCCTAGGACAGCTGTTCCACTACCGATAGCCTCTCCTGTTGCAGGAAATCCTAACCTGATACCAACTTCACCAGGTTCTCCAAGGGAGCCTTGTGAGGCTCCTCCCAAGTCATTTCCAGAACCTAAACCTATTCCAGCTAAAAGTGCCATAGGGTCATCTGATGATGCCAAAATGTTAAGTACAACTAAGCCTCTTCCAATTGATCCTCCTACGCCGGTATCAAAGCTTCCAGCTGTTGTTCCAGCAATAGTATCGTCAAGACCGATAAATACAAAGGCTATGGCCACTGCGCCTGGGCCTGCAACCCCATCTAGATCTACTGCTGAAGCGACTCCTGCTGGTGACATACCCATGGCGTTAGCGAACCTGGAATTAAAAGATGACACATCTGCTTCGAATGTTGTAGGCACTTCTTCTGCAGAATCCGAAAGAAGGAATACTAATAATGACATATCGTCAGAAATAAGGACCTCTTCAAATGAAAAGGCAAAAATGGTCAAATCACAGAAGACTAACGTACAGGTGAGTGAGTGCCGCCTGTTCCAATTTCAAACCTAGAGGTTAAAAGTGTTTCATTCCGACGTAAAGAGTATTGCTATAGGGCAAAGACTCTAGTAAATTGGCATTATATGCTTTGTAATAAAGCTTAGATATATCTAATTTATAATCTAGTTTAATTGTCGTCCAATTGTCAAATATCGTCAAAGTACATCACATTTCGCCATATCCTTGGGTAAGTTAAAGATAACCCCAGCTGCCCCACAGTGAAGTCTTTTAATGAAATTGATATACACCCAAAATTTTGTTGGTTTTCTGTTTATAGGATGAACTGTGTCGTTATTGTAGAGAGGAAAAAGCAGATGTAATATTCAAACCTTGCAACCACAAAGTTGTGTGTCAGGGTATGTACTGGTAGCACTTCACTGTCAATAAAAGTCAAAAATGGGTAGCATGGGTGGTGCAGTGGTTTACTGCTCGCCTCTCACCACTGTGGTCCGGGTTCAATCCCTGGCTCAGACTGGATCATATGTGAGTTTCATTTGATGTGTTGTGGTTCTCTCCTATGCTACGAGAGTTTTCTCCGGGATCTCCGATTTCCTCCCTCCTTTAAAATCAACATGTGAGTTGAGTGTTGTATGTTGTAAATATAGAATGTAGTTGTAGTGCGTGTGTAGGGAACCTCACGCCGAAGAGCCCCGTACGGGAAGTCCGGGTAGTTGTAAAATATAAAATATAAGTAAAAATAATTTACGAATGATAAGTTACATTTAGCTACGACTTTTTTTTAGCTAGGTCATGGTAAGCTTGCTTTGCAAAATAGACCTCCACCTTTAGCGTAATGTTTTCCTTTTTGATAATAAAATTATTTGTTTCATTTGCATCAATTTTCATGTGTCGATCGTCTCATGCACAACCACGTAAACAAAACAATGATAGTCTAGCCAGAAATGGAAAACATTGTGCCCAAAGTAAAGAGGTCTATTATTTCAAAAATTGAATATTAAACAATATTAAAGCAATGGTCATTCACAGTTTACATATATCAAGTTCTGGATGCACTTGAAAGGTTCCCAAAAGAAGAAAAAGAACACACCGAGTGTTGGTGACTCTTCATTGTGCAAATTCAAACATATGTTCTTTTTTAATTGCGAACTTTTCAATTGCATTTCAACAATCAAAGGGGTTTTTCCTATTTCCTATTTACAGGTTGCTCCCTGAGGGCAAGATTTTGCCTGAAGTGCGAGAAAAAAATCAATAGCAAACTTGCTCCAGGTAACTAAGTGTACGGTTAGTCTCAAAGCTTAGAGTATCATCATCCATGTAGAATAACATGCAGTATACAGATATTGGGCACCTCTTTGCAAACGTACCCAGTCAGCGATTTTGGGGAAAGCGTCAAATTGCATGCAAAACTTAAAATAGAGTGACTTTACTTCTTCTGAATCAGAAACTCTGCATATTTAAGGTGCTTTAGCGGTAGAGCACTCGCCAGTCAATTCTGGGGTCTCGGGTTTCATCCCTGGCTCAGCATCCGATTGGCATCATTGTTTAGACTCTTCCTTTATCCTTTCTTTTTTTCCCCTTTATTCGAGGGTTTTTTCCTTGGGTTCTCCGGTTTTCCACCTCCGCAAATTCCCAATTCGATCCGAGAGTTTGAAGTGCCCTTACTTTATCATGTCCAGAGGTTTGAATGTAGAATATTGATTTTTTCTTGTAAAATGACCAGACCATATGAACAACTAATTGTGCTCTTACCATGTTTAGGAACAGAAGCTCCACTCTTGTCCTTAACACACATAAAAAAAGATTATGAAAATAAAATAAAAGAATTAGAGCTTCTGGCAATTTGTCGAATTTGCATGGACAGTCCAAGCAACGTGGTATTCCGACCGTGCGGTCACAAGTGCTGCCATGAATGCGCTAGAAGATTGTACAGATGTCATAGTTGTAAAGAGAAAATAGATGAAAGAATTGTCTCATATCAGTAGTAACTGGACTGCCGAGATAGGTTGCAGAAAGACTACAATTCTAGCTGGGCGGACTAGTTCTAATAATTTAGGAATGGAAAGCTGTAATTACATATGATCATGAAGTCCTCAAATGGGCTATATCTGTGCTCCATTTGAAAGAAGGGAAAGGAATTTATTATATATTAAAAATGACAAGAAATAGCCAAGATCCAAGATTTATCCTTTAAAGGAATTCATTGCTGCTTACTTCAAATGTAGATAAGATGATTTGTGCTTTGAAATAGCGCTATCTCATTTCAGTTCGATCTTTTATGTCCATAAAATAGAACGAGGGGCCCACGCGGGAGTGGATTTCAAAGATTCCGCTTCAAGTAAGAAATAGATAAAAAATTGTTTTAAACAAATTTGTCTTTTATTGCGTCTGCATTTGACATGGAGTTGCAGTAGGGAGGGTGGGGGGGGGGGCAAAATTGTAAAGCTTTCCATGTGATTTTGCAACCACACCCCCCACCCCCCTTCCCTCCATGTGCTAATAAATAAAAACCGAGAGAATAGAAAATGTGTGGCAAGAGCTGTTATGGTTCCAATTTTTGGACCCGGAAGTAATTATTATTCAAGTGAGTAATAATGTTATTCATATAAAAAAATTCCGGGTCCGTATCAAAAGCATTTCTGTTAAGTTCGTGCTTGCAATTGTCTTCATTATGATTTGTTGTACAATACCCTGATTTTTGCGCTTGGAGGAAAAGATTTTATTTGCATTTTTGTGTGCCCAAATGTACACTATCCAGTACCCAAGCATTTTCCCGCCAAAAGTAACGCGCGCGTTTGTGCGTGGCTTGCCTGGACACCAGAAGCCATTCACTCGTCTTCCGATTCCCTTTCTTTATGTATGTATTCTATCAAGAAGAAAAGGGGTTTTATCGATCAAAAGCTCTATTTGAACTCATTAATGTCGTTCTAGGAACAGCACAGAATTCAGTAAAACGTGAGTATGTAAATATTCCAAGATATTGAAGGTTTTTATTGCGAAATGCAAGTAGTTTTGACATTATAAAGATACAAGATATTGAACTCAACCTTAACCATCAATTAAGCTTACATTTAAATATGAGGCTCATCTTATAAATTGTGATGCATCGATTTTGCACCAATACCATCCTTGATAACCTATGCTAAATATAAGTCACACTGGCTTCGGGACTGGCAAGAATCAAGCTTTTTCTTCAGCTTGTTCACACTTAGATCGTTTCAGATCGGACCAATTTTGACTCGATTCAATTTAAACCTTGTACGCTCACACTACATTCGGTTCAGATCGATCGCGATCGCTTCCGATCGATTCAATCGTTCACATTTGTTAACATCTTGTTTTGCTGGCCAGCGGCAGTACACGTAATTTTACAGCGTTTCCATGGTAACTCCTAAGGCTTTAAGTTACAAATGGCCGACTGTCAAGGTTTTGAATTTATATCTTTGCTATCTTTGGTGAATTTGTGCATCTTTATCAGGTTAAAGAGGCTAAAAGAAAAATCTCGTCGCAGAATTGAACTTAAAAGGAAACGGCTACACAGGAAACAGAAAATATACAAGCGCATTTTAAAGATTCGCGCTGGCGTGCAAACCCGAGGTTTGCTAGTGAGACAAAGCATTGTAAGTTGTTGTTTCAATTCACGTTCAACTTGGGTATTTAAACGGAATACAGATGTTTGGCAGGATGCTATTACAACATGGACTGCGAAGGACTGGCATGACAATATTAGGATGTCGCAGCAAACATTTTGGCATGTCTGTGATATGGTGAGGGAAAGGATAGAGAAAAGGACCACTCGATTCCGTGCGGTCAAAAGTCCTGGAGATAGATCGATTTATTTTGAGTCGATTTAAATCGTCGTTCGCATTGCTAGTAGTTAGATCGGTTTGATAAAGATCGATCTAAAGTAAACTACCTCTCGAGATGGTCTAGTTTGGATCGTTTGTGATCGATCTAAATGCAAGTGTAAACAATAAGAATCGTGAGCGAACGATCTGAATCGATCTAACTGACCCTAGAGTGAACAAGCTCCTTGTCTATCGGTGCTGATCCGGATCGAAGCAAAAATTAAAAAGATCCGATTTCAAAACGACTTTCAAAAGCGTAAATAACCAATATCAAACCTTAAAATATACTTAATAGTAACGATTTAAGGTTTTATGTTTTAATCTGAAAATATGGCCGTGGAAGAAGCTACAGAAAGACGAAATTATCAGGGTCTAGGATAAATAAAGATGGCGGTTTTAGGTAGCCTTGGGACGATCATAAGCTTTGTTGGTTCGTATAAACAAGCGATAATTCTTTGGGATCATGGTACTCATTTGTAGTACAGGGCTGGTTTTAAGGATGGTTTGACCTGCCGATTCTAATCAGGACTCTGCACCATTAGGTACACACCATTGTTTTTGTATTAAATTTGATCAACTTTAAACAATTAGTTGGTCCATGGTTGGACACACCCAGAAGTGGGAGGTTAGTTGAATAGCATGAGGTTTTGCACCATCACATGCTCATGCCCATAATACAGCTTTGGCTTTCTGTGGTTAGATGGAAGAACAATAAAATTCTTAGAACTTAGCTTTTGGGAATTGAATTCCTTTTCATGTTAAAGCAGTGTATTCTTTCCTATCAATAGATATCACTTCTGGTTGACTGAGGGGTAACTTATATTGGGAAGCTTGGAGGAGGATATCTTGGAGGTTGTTTGTGTATTTGAATTTCTGGAGAATAGTAATTTTTGAATACTTTGAGAACTTATTTTCACATGTTTTGACTTAAAACTTGCTAGTTGCATATTAATTGCCCCCCAGTCAACACCAAAAAGTCATGTGATTGACAGTAAGCAATTGTTCCTGCCATCTAACATGACTGCTGTCATGGGATGGTGCAAAGCCTCTATTTCAAGGAAGAGTAAGTTGTTGAAAAATAGATGAAAAATAGAAAAATAAATAAAAATTGGTTAACTGTTTGGCTATTATTGTGAACAATCTGCACCATACGGTAAGGTGTCAGTAAGTGGTTGGTAAGTGGTTGGTAAAATGTGTCGGTTAGTGGTCGGTAATGTAACAGTAAGGTGAAATAAAATATAACTATTCACCATTTTCTCTAATCCCCCCAGGATAAATGTGGAAACACATTGAATGCCATATTGCGGAGCAAGCTTCCATCTTCTCCGAGATCATTGGTTCTTGTGAAAGGAGTACCATATTAGACCCAACCCTGTGCAGCAAGGAAGGTCTAAAAACTTGTTACATTTGGCCYGTATCAAAAACGACACTCAGTAAGAAAAACTCGATTCACAAAATTTATTATGATTACCATGATAATAGAGTACAAACACTAAAAGTGTGCAACACTGAATACTGCTAAATTATGCTAATCCTATTGTTTTCTATTGTTTAATTAGCACTATTTACTGCTAAATAGTGCAAGGTGTTGCACACTTTTAGTGTTTGTACTCTAATAGTTAAATATACAGTGGTTCTTTCTAACAAGCAGACACCTTATCAAGCAGATACCCTTTTATTAAGTGGACATTCAGCCTCAGATAATGGTTGAATGTTTCGTCCCGTTTTCACTCAAAGGGAATCTCGCTTCTGATAGTGGAAATTTCTATTAAGTGGAAACAATGCAAAGTCCTGGAAGCATCTGCTTTAAAAATGCTTGATTTAGTGACTAACTCCCCCCCNCCCCCCCCCACACACACACCCCCACCTACACAAAATATTAGAGAGAGCCGTGGTAAATAAGAGAACATACCAACAAATTATGTCACACAATGCTTGAATCTGTTTTTTCTTTCAAACTATATTTTCTTTTGCTATTTAAATAGTAAACCGTTAATTGTATTTGTCCTCTTATGTAATACAATAGGAATTTAACAGTTGGTCACAATTTGGTTTTGTACCTTCTCAGCTACACCTAGTGATCATGAGTACATAACATTTTGGCCAATTTTTGACGTCATATTGGGTATATGAGAGGACATACCATGTTAAATCATTGAAAATTTGTTAATTATATACAGGTTATACCAGGTAGTAGGGGAAGACTTTCTTATAAGCACACTGTGTACACTCACTTACATTTTCACTACCTTTTCCTTGCAGGGCATTAAAGGAGCTAGTTAGAAAATACCCTTGGTTACTGAGAATATACATAACACCCAGAAGCATCAGGTATTCCTTGAATATGGCTGTCTTGAACAACGAATGAGTTGGTAAGTTTGCAGAAATCTATTCAAACTTTGATATTCCCTATTAATTTTTTTTAGTGAAGCCATTGAGAGTGGCAGAGGATACTAGGCTTATGTTTTAATGCAAATATGCAGTTTAAACAACAGTTTATTTACTTATTTATAATATAAATCATTAATAAATTAATTATAAACAATACTTATAAAMAATTATAAATAAACATAAAAATAATAAAAACAAGCATAATTTATGAGGGATTTATGAATTTTGAGGGGCACCATTTTTCCCATCAAAATTTAGGGGAGCTATCATGGAAATAAGGGGGTCATTTTATATTTATATCTATTTAATTTCTGCAATTCTTAAGGTGGAGGGCTTCGTTGAAAATGGTGTAAATTCTAAAAACTCAGAGCAATTAACCCTCCAAAACCATAAATGATGAAAGGTTAACAAGGGTAGTCTAAAACTCAAATGTTTGACTGTAGACTTCCCCGTGTCCTTGAATTTCTATTTTTTCCATCGTTAAATGGATGTTTGCAAATGCATTCGACTGCTTTTCTGCCTCCACAACTGCCGCAATCGTTCGATGATGGATACCATATATAGCGATCTTTGTGCAAATGACCAGACAAACTCACCTTTACACATTCATGAGACCATAAAAGATCCAGGACTTCTTCGTAGTTCCAAATGATGTCTGTGTCTTTTTCAAGCGTAGGATGCAGTGGAATAATGGCTGAAAAGGATCGCTTTTTGATCACAATCTTCAGCATGGGATAACTCCTTATCGAGCCATTCCATCTGAACTTTATCCAATCCGCCGTTGTCTGCGATGTAACGTTTGGCATATCCTTTACCACCCCCAGACAAAAATTGTGACGTACACTTTGCAATAGACTGCCGTCAATCAAACACGTTGACGTCATTTACACACATGTGTGATTCAAAAGGCACCATAACTCGTAGATTGTTTACAAGTATTATGAGCCACACTCACCAGGCCTTATCTTTCCGTGTAAATGACGTCAACGTGTTTGATCTCAGTGACATTGGTAGTGTTGTCCGTATTTTCTTATTAGCAAACATATTTTGCCATCTCTTCTGCCATTTTGCCCTGTGGTGGGTACTGCTTTGATGGGACCACGTCTTCCTCATACATGCCACTATCATCAGGTTCACTGAGTGTCTCATGTTCTACATCACCATTTGAGTCACAATCATCATCATCATCAGCCCCTTGGAGTGCTGATCTCATGAGATGGTCTGGAAACTGCTTTGTTTCTGCCATGTGCCACTTAGCAATAGTTTTGCGGATACATGACTGTGATCCCTTGACATGTTTACAATACCAGATGTATTTCTCCTTGTCAAAGRTAACACAAACTCTGCCATCAAAAGACCACCATTTCTTCCTCCCATCTTTATCCCAGACACTGAAGTTCAGATATCGAGAGGAAGTGTAACTTTCATTAGTGAGTTGTACAATCATTGACACTCCAGCTGATATAGCAGCTTCCTGATACTCAAGGCACTCGACTTTTCTCACTGGCTTTAATAGCTTGAGAGTGTGCACTAAAACATCAAGGCTGTCACTTGTCAAGACTTGTTGTGGTACTCTCTTTGGCAGGAAAGGAACTGACTGGAGGTGGCTAGAAAGATAGGGTTGGAGATCACTCCTTGCTGCTGTATCCATGACTTGCTGGCAAGTATGGCCCTGGCATTTCATGACAGGAGTTCTTCCATTGGGACAGTACTGTACATGAGTACAAAAACTAGCCCCTCCCCGATTTCTTCTCACCAAGAAAATTCCTGATGTATCATCTACACAGACACCTGTATGGTAACTTATTGATGATACCATACCATAAGAACCACTACCCATGCCTGTTTTATGCTGACTGTCAATATGAACTTTGACAAATCAATGACAACCCTATCAGTATTTACTCTATACACCACAATCTCCTTGATTTGTGCCAAACAATAGTTTGTCAAAATCTAATATAAATCATGCTAAAGATGTGACAAGATTTTCAACCTGTCTGCTTTTAAAAGAGGTAATATACAAGTAAATAAATCATAAACCTACTAAGCTAATGACAATATGATGTAGCAGTTCTAAACACGAACATTCCATACCATCACTAGAGCCGCACTCCAAAAGCTGAAGAACGTTTCCTAATGCTATTGTAGTTATGGAATGGTGATGGTTTCGCTTCAGTGCCGCCATTTTGGTTTCAAACCCATCATGCGAGAATAGACTTGTGCCTACCATGCATGTGGACATGAGAGCCTTGTATTGGTACATATGGCGTCTCAGTCTGTATTCCATGTATGGTAGTCGTACGACAACCCCTTCCCTCTCCTTGGCTCTTTTTGCTCCTTGGGCTTCATGTGGCGTAGTTCTTCCCTGCCATTAAATTTAATACAGGGATCCCAAAAGAGAATATAGAATATATGGAGTAGCCTGCGGAAGAGGATAGAAACGCGAAGCATTATGTTTTCATTGGGTACGAAGTCCGTGCGTCAGGGGACTTCTGACGTAATACTACAGATATAGCATTGTTTTTATTCATGAGTTATGATCAACCTTTCATGAATACCGCCAAAATCGTCACGACAATGAAAATCTTAAGACTGCAGTCAGGAGTCATGTTTATAAATGTTTCTTACTTGTTTTCTTTGACTTTTTCATGTTTTACGATAAGCCCAGTTCTTCACTAGTAACGACAATCGCATTCGCGCAGGATTTTGAACATGTTTGAAATAGGTAAGCTTGCGCTCACAGGCTCGCGCTGTTTGATCTCTAGCGGACTCTTATAATTTCCCGCCATGCCCCTTCCCCGCAATTTAAGGCAAATGTATTCTTTTGAAACGCATTTGTTTAAAACAAGGGAACACGGCAGAAATGATTTGTCGATTGGTCTTTTTGTGGTACATGATTTAATTGTTTGGTCTTCCTATTGTATGATGTATGGTGATCAATTCCAACCTTTTGATATTCAATTACAATTGATTAAAACATTCGCTTTCTCTCAGTTATTAATTGTTTACAAATAGGGCACTGGTTGTTGCCTTGACCAATAAGATCCGAGCATTCCATACATGTTTTGTGTCCACAACCAAACAAGACATTGCATCGTTCATCCATACAAATGGGACATTCTAACTCTCGTTTAGCTTCGTCGAGTTTTCTCTCCAGCTCTTTCAACTTTTCTTTGTTATAAGTATCCATTTCGTCGTCGAGTTCAGGTAGTTGCGAGCCATCTAAAAAATATCATTAATAATGAAATAAATCAAAGGAACGTGGTCATCCCACTACACATTTTAAGAGGTGAGACTCCTGAAGTCCCCCACCCCTCCAATATCTTCCACACCCCGCCCCACCACAAATGGTTATTTCAACGGTGCTGCCCCGGACGTATCCTATTAGTCATTATCATTTGCTTAGCCTGCGTGCCTCCGAACGTTTACTATTTACGACAGAAAATTCCGGATGCAGTGCAGGCTACATTTGCTCGGCAGACATCTATTTTATTTGCAATCTATCCTATTTCACTTTTTGAATACTTCTGATCAGCATTTAATAAGAAATGTTTTAAATTTACCATTTTCCATACATCGGTTCACTGGTCAAACACAAAGCATTCAGTCAAGGTTGCAAGATTCAAATTTGAATAATCCTTTGAAAGCACCTTGGCGCCTCGCATGAGCGCTTAGTGTTTGACGAGTGAACCGACGTATGAAAAATGGCGGTGAATATACAGTTACTTCAAAGTCAAAACTCCAGCCATTTCATTTTTTCGCTCTTACAGCAGTATAGGAGACAAACACATGACAGAAACAATTCCAATATGACCCAGGACTGAGGAAGCTCAAACGTGTAACATGAATACCTGATGTGGATTTTTTATCTATCGGTTGGTTGCACTCGTGACAGCGCTTATACTTCCTGGCACACCCTGCATATTATAATGACAATGAAATGATATTATGATGTGGTCACATAAAATAGACCAAGCAGGGAAAAATCATGTTTTTCTCATTGTGCATTTAGCCCAGTTTATTGTGTGTTAATCATAAGATAAAACTTGCAGGTGTATAACGAGAGTATTGCCCAAGTAATCTGGCTTTTCGTCCTTTTTGGTAAAACTGAGGAGCATATATATGATCTGATAGTTGTATAAGTTATCAATAATAGAGTGACTTGGTTCTAGTGTAGCGTTTCTATTTTCTCCAACTTAGAAATCTGACTTTCGTCTCTCCTCCAATATAAGTGGAGCACATTGTTGGGTCAGGGGATGTGTAGGAAAGACATGAATATTAAACAGTTGTTAGAACCACGATGGTGGACTTTTAGCCGGACCTCCCTTCGTTAAATCATGAGCAGATACCTGTATTAGTTATCAGTTACAGTAAAACTTGGTGCAAGTGTAGTGTTTCCTATTAGTGCGACTGCGCCAAAGTCCTTAGAATACCAATAAGAATGTGATTGAATAATGTAAGAAAATCTCTGAGAGTCTTGCCTTCGGATCATCTTAAACCGGTAACAAATAGAATATAAATAAACAAGGTTGCACTTACCAAAACAAACTTTATCTACAAAATGTCCACATGGCTCAAAAAAGACCTTCGATGCTTTTTCATCGCAATAAGTGCAAATAATATCGCGTGCTGGAGGTTTTTTCGTCTGCATCCTACCCCTCGTTGGATCCAATTGCTGTAAAACAATGAAAAGACACCAGTTAATCCACCATTGGAAGTATAAATCACCACGTTTAAATCCATTGGATAATCATGGTGATCCCTTGTAATCGGGCATGAGCCATGGTCTGGCTAATCTAAATTAAAGAATTATACTTTGGATTCTTGGTTGCTCTAATTCAAACTTAGAGATGATAATACTACAAGGTAAAATACAGTAGGAATAAAGAAGTATGCATCAATGGTAATTAAACGTTACTCACTATCTTGTTCCCCAAACTTGCAGCCAAGGACGCAACATTTGTCCTAGAAGGAGCAACCTTAGCCTCTTTTTTTTTCGGTTCTGGAGAGATGTTAACGGAGCCTGCAAGTATTGCTGAACGGGGTCGAGGTGGTGGGGGAGCAGGGTAGGTCTTCTTGGAAGTCTTTGGTAATGTATTGGCATCAGAAGGGTCTGCCCTAATTGCAGGCTTAGGAGGTGCCGGAGCTCTAGATTGGACGGGCGTTCTTCCACCGGAATCGCCCTTGTTTAAATCGGCTTGCGACATCCTGTTAACGATATCCTTGACTTTCTTAATTGGTTCTGTAGTAGGCTGGTCATCCTTGGCCTCTGATTGTTCCACTACATTGCTGTTGCTAGAATTATTATTGGGCAAACGTTGCCGTGAAGGCTTTGGTAGCGTACGTGGAGGAGGGGACTTAATAGCTGATGTTGTATTATCACTTTGTTCACCCTTTTGAAGACGCTTGATAACTTCGTGTTGCAATTCTTTTTGTTGATCTTCTGCGTTCTGGTTACTTTGAACGCTTGACTCCTGAAAATTGGAAACGTCACATGAGATCGTTAGTTAAAAGATACCATACAAAAGTCTTTAGTTATCCTGCAATTATAAATCTAGTCAGCAGCTAAATGAAATATCTTAGCTTGAATCTAAGACTGATGGCATGGACAACATTTTCCATTAAGAAATGACTTGATGTAAGACGCATTTAAAGCTTAACCATTACCATCTTATGTTGGGCTTGCTTTTCAGATGAAGTGGAAAACTGCTTTTTCTCCAGACTATTCATGTCATCTAGAGATACTGAAGGAAGATGGTCCTTGCAGTATAATGGACCGAGGGAGGGCGTAACCAGTTCTAAATCAACCTGAAGTGAAACGAGAATCGCATCAGTAACAAAATAACAAGGAAATCTGGACTGAAAAGCGCTTTGCAGACAAACAAACAAACAAAACAAAACTATAAAATAAAATAACCATTACCATCTTATGTTGGGCTTGCTTTTCAGATGAAGTGGAAAACTGCTTTTTCTTCAGACTATTCATGTCATCTAGAGATACTGAAGGAAGATGGTCCTTGTAGTATAGTGGACCGAGGGAGGACGTAACCAGTTCTAAATCAACCTGAAGTGAAATGAGAATCGAATCAGTAACAAAATAACAAGGAACTCTGGACTGAAAAGTGCTTTGCAAATGAACAGTCAGGGTAACAGGGTAATAGTCATTTCCCCCATTAACTTTAACCGTGATAAAAGAACATGTTTACTTATTCTTACTTTTCCTTTATGACCAACTCTAAGGTGTAATTCACAGAAGTTTTCCCAGTCCACTATTGCTGCACTTCTTGGAATACCTTCCCAAGACGCTAGTTCTAAGACTTTTCCATTCCTAAGAGATTCTGACGTCCAGTCATTTCCAGTTTTCACTATTGCTCCAGGAAATATGCCCTTGGCTTGGATTTTCAAGCATCCGAAACGCTGCCCAACGTCCACCCTACAGCGAAAGTACGCGATTTCAGTTAGGCCATTTTGTCAGTAAATATAAAACTTTCATAATAAATTAGTTATAAAATAATAAATTAATAAATAAATTTTAAATTAAACAAATTATTTATCAACATTCTTAAAAGAAATGGAGCTAGAAAGCGGAGCATGCGCACTACTCACCCATTAGCACTGTCATTCGATACATCGAATCGCATAAAGCTGTGGTTCATGTCATGTACATCCTTCATGTAACACAAGGTGCATAAGCTGTAGTTAGGACACACTGCACATTGCCATCGCATTCCAGAAATACCTGCTTGGTTGCATTCATTACACGAATGAGATGAGAAATCGATACCTAAAATAATTTTGAAACCATCATTTATGGCATGCAAGGCCACAGGTAGCCCAAGCTTGGTTTCTGTGGTGTCCTGCCTGTCCTTTTAAGATTTTTTCCCCCACCAGTAAGAAATTATTTCTTACTGGTGGGGAAAAAAATCTTAAAACGGGTTAAATTCAAAAAATAACCACGCAGAGCAAAAGAAGTGCTTTTTCTCAATGATCAGGTAAAATTTCGAGGCTTTATTTCACGTTTTAATGATTTTATTGAAATTTTTGATGAATCTCCATACATTTCCTTATAACAGGACACCACAGAAACCAAGCTTGGGCTACCTGTGGCAAGGCTTTAGTCATTTAAAATTCCCTATACGATAGTTTCCTATTTCTGGGGTACAACAAACTGACTCAAAATCCCATGAGATAAAAATTACAATGAAACAGCCGACATGTTGGTTGATGATTCTCTGCATGTTGTTATCGTCAATCAACATGGCGGCTATGACGTAATATTCACCTTAATAATTCCCCTAAAAATTTGTGTAACTTTTCGCCGACACGACGTAAGATGTTATATCAGACACGCACTAATTCTTAATCAATCCATGTTCAATACTAATATAAATGGTTATTCAAAAATAATGTGATTTTTTTTCAATGTTCAGTGATCGTGATGTAGTGTTAAATAAAAGAGATAGGTAATGTCGATTTGCCAGCATTACATCCGCGTATTAATCGAATCAGTGGAAGTTTCTAAATGGATTCCAAAATTATTTACATACGCTTTACATACATACACTTTATTGTGTCTCCCAAAATGGGCTTTTCAGCTACAATATGCTAAATATTAAATACTGAATAAATACTAAATAAAAATATTTTAATAGATAATATAATCCAATAAATGCTAAAAATATTAATAAATATAAATATTAAATTTAACCCTAAAAACTAGTAAAAATTATAAAACATAATACAAAATAAAATATAATATAATGTTGATATAATCTTCTTAAAATTCCTTGTGTTATCTATGGTTCTTGTTTCAAAACTTAGTTTGTTCCAAAGCTTGCATCCACGATAATCAAAACATCTCTGACCTGTCTCCAGACGACATTTATGAATTTGTAAAAAAACAATTGGAATTTTTAATTAAAGTTTATATTACCTGAAGGTGCCGAGTCCAAAATTCGTAAATCGTAACAGCCGTCTAGTCCAGCTCTATAACATCCTTGGTAACCAGTATCCCAATAGACAAGCACTTTTCCCTTTGGTAAGGGACTTCCATCTTGAAAGTTTTGTGTGCTTGTGATTGTGCCGACAAATCCTTCGCCTCCATCTTGGTCTTCTTCTTCTTCTTCAAACTCCCAGTCAGGGCCTCGAACCACTCGACTTCCGACAAGCATATTTTGAATAATCAAATTATTCAGCGAGATTTTACAAAATGTAAGCAAGTTTATTTCGTCGAGTTTAGTTCCTTATCATGTTTTCAGGAAATTTCCTTGAAGGTCTCAGCCGTTCTTGGAAATGAACGCTGAGTTGGTATTTGATTGGAGAGCATTAAATTTGTTTGGAAAGATAACAAACAATTTCATCTATATATAGCTGACAAAAAAAGTCCCTTCGCCGTTACTTGACTTGACCTGTTTTACATTATCTACACTCGAATAACCGAGTCGATATTGAATAACAAAAACTTCGGTTTTCTTAGAAAAAGCGGAAATGAGTGGATTGTAAATGTTGGAGTAATGCTCATAAGTAAGTGAAGCAGTTTTAAGTATCTGTGCTTATTCGTTATGTTTGGTGTTTATTAATTGAAATTAATAAGTAAGTTATGGAAAAATATTAAAATTATTAAAATATTAAAATTATTTATGAAATTTAAATTATTCATTCATCGCTAGATTTTTTGGGGGAGTATTTGATCGGCCAGTGTAACATAAGTTACCGTTTACAGCACACCAGTGATTTTCCCTTAAACATTAATTCCTATTCCGACAAAGGTCTAAAATTGCAGGTATATACACTGCAAAGCAAAGGAAACAATCGCAACCCCATCAAAACAAGGGAATTTCTCTTCAAACCTATCATGACGCAATATTTCCAAGAACTTGTTTTTTTATTAGGAATGAATGAAGCTAAATTTCAGTTCAGTTCAGTGTTGCAGAATTGATAGGATCGATTCCATTTGCTGCCACAAAGAAAAGTTTAGTGATTGACTCAAAATCTTTTAGATAATCTATCCAACTGATTTCCAAAGACTTCGGTAGTAAGAAAAATGTTATTGGGAAGTCGAGTTGTTCGTGGACCTGACTGGAATACGAGAAATGACAGTGATAGTGTCGAAGTAGGTTCTGTTGGTACGATTATCAATCTTTATCATTTTCAAGATGGTAGACCTTTACCAAAGGAAAAAGTACTCGTTCAATGGGATACAGGCGAGCAAACATGCTGCAGAGCTGGACAGGATGGCTACTACGATTTGAGAATTTTGGACTCCGCACCAGCTGGTAATAAACTTTATTTAACACAGAATTCAGAAAGTTGAAGAGCCTTATTTACACTAAAGCTACGCGCTTTTAACTGTAAGGTACAACGCTAGAGCGAACGTCTTGCTGTTTAAAACTCGTTAACTCGGTTTGAATTGTGGGGAAGGGGAGGGTTCCTTGACTACGGTCTACGAGCCAAATTTCGTTCTTCGTTCTCGTTTAAGGAGGCTCTGGGTAGTTTTGGTCTGGCACACCTAGCCGCATTGAAACGGCTACAACTTCGTCTTGAATAACTCGATCTGCAAGCGCTTTTCACACAATGTCAGGAAAGGATTAAAGGTTTCAAAAATGATAAATTAGTTTAAAGCGGCCTTTTCATTATGACGTAATGATGACATCATAGAAATCGTTTACCGCGTATTTTCTCGAAAACTAGACCKAAACTTTCAAAGCGACTTGCACCAGTCGATAGTATTCATCAAGGCACCCAACATATTGCAATATGAAAAAAATGTATGAGAGCGTTTTTCAAATATTACGCGGTGAATATTTTCATGGACTTTTACTATTATTTCCAGCGTGTCAACTTTATACCCTCAAAATCGGGACTTTAATTTAGTGGATTCAATATTTTTAGTAGCTAATATTGACTATAGGACGGTAAATAACTTATTTATTTTTTTCCCCTATTTTTTTACTTGTTTTTGTAATCGTTTTGTTTTGTTGATACTGACAAAATACCGCCCGCTGAAACGCTCATAACTACTTTCGCTCACGGGCTGCTTGTTGATTATTCACGCTTGACTTCCGTGTTATTCCTTGTCGTGTGCTGTTAGTATCGAGCGTACTTATTTTTATTTGACTGCCTTAAAACCCTTCAATGCATATGAAATTAAAGGAAAATATTTGTAAAAGATACATC